GTAGTCAATAGTACTAAAGTTTAGACATAAACACATGCCTATATGTGTGTGTATTACATTCATATTTATTTCTTCATATATCCGTATATATTAAAAATCCTAAATCCACACCTGTGTACCTCCGGTTCCTAATCCAACATGTCAGGGGTTCAATCTAGTTTTCTCTCTTTCCATGCTGAAAGCTCCCTGTTGTTTTCATCTCACTCCTGCTCTGGCACCTTGGGCCACTGCAGCTTTCTTCCATGCCCGCCCGCCCACATGTTGATGTTGTTGCATACCTTCCTTGGCCCCACCTAATGGCTTTTGTACTGATTATTCAGGAAAGGAAGGGAAGAGAAGAGCAGGGTGAGATGTAGGGGGACAAATGAATAGATCTGAGAAAGATTAGGAGATAGAATAAATAGGACTTGGTGATTCATCAGATGTGGAGGTGATGGAGGAATAGGAGTCAAAAGTGATACTCAGGTGTGATTCAGGTAGAGAACAGAACAGGAATAGACTTGGTGAATGTGTGGGAGTGAGGTAGAAATGTACAATTGCAGCTCAAGAGAGAAATATGACTTAGAATAAAGATTTTATATTCATCAGATTATATATGACATTTAGAGACAATAGAAATGGATGGAATTTCCCCAGAAATATGTGTGTGTGTGTGTGTGTGTGTGTGTGTGTGTGTGTGTGTGTATCATTCTAATTTAAGAGATGGGCAGAGAAGAATTGGCTATCATGTCAGGGAAGTCCAGGGAAGGCAGTCCTTTGAACCAAATGCTACCAACAGCTCAAGTAAGATAGGGACAGAAACACACTTCCTGGATTCAGCAATATGGTGATTAGTGACTTTCAACATAGTTCAAGTAGATAGGAATGTTGGTTGGTAGTGGGGGCAGCTGATTGAAAAGAGAATGTTAGTTTAGAAAGTGTGGAAAGTAAGCAAATGTTTCAAGAAACATGTCTGTGAAACAGAAGAGAAAAATAAGAGTCCCAGTGCTTGGGGGAAGGCAGGCAGCCAAAATTTATGAGAGAACTATGCCAATTTCAGTACTGATGGGAGATACTGAAGACCTAGGGATGAGGGGAAAAAAATATTGTAGGTCTCTGATGCGGCTAGAGGTCAGTCATTCTCCTATTTGAGAGAGACATCACCTAAAAATTTAAAAAATGCATAATTCTTTGATGCCAAATCTAGAGATGCTGATTCCAAGGTCTAGATGGAGGCTCCTGTATCTTGTCAAGCCCCCAAGATGATAATAATGCTGGTGTTTCACAGATAATACTTTGCAAAATAATGGAAGTAAAAGGCATATAGAACACAATGATGGATTCTCTGGGGACAGAAAAAGGGATATTTAATCCTTTTAAAACAGGACCAGGTGTAGGCATATGTGTTGTTTGGGAATAGAAAGTTTAGTGGTTCTTGTCTGGTGTGTTCTATTTTCTCTATGAAAAAGGAGGTGAATAGTCACCCTGAGAGTGAGGGGTCAAGAAGTTTGAAGAGAGTGGCAAAGATGGGAAATAGCTACAGTGCACAATGGGAGAGAGTGTGCACTAAGAAAACAAAGAAGGCTTTTGGAGAAGTATGAGAACCCAGCTGACATTTATAAATCATGAACTTATTGTAGCCACTGTCGGCATTGTTTTTCAAATGTCTCTAACTGAGGCCAATATCCCAGCGTTAGCACTGACAAAATGCTCAGTTGGGTTGGTCGAGGGTCTGTGTTTTTGAAGTATGAAAGCTAGAGAGGTAATAGCTTTGGTGTCAAACAAAGATTTTGAAATGATGAAATCCAAAATGAAAAAGAAAAGAAGTGAAGGCAGGAGGAGTCTAATGAGGCAAAGAAAAATAAGTCATGGAGCAGAGGTCCCAGCGAAGCCCAGAGTGGAAGGACAGAGCTTTGTGGTCACCGTGGGGATATGTAATTGGAAGATTTCAGAGTTTCAGCATGCTTGGTGAAGCTAAACTGTGTAGGATGTGGTCACGGGAGTGGAATAATAAAGTGTAGTGGAGGTGAAGGTCACTAGTGATGAAACAGATCAAGAAACGTCGATGCCAAGCCCTTTGGAGGGCTGTGTTCAATAGCTTTACATCTATCTCTAGCACACGAGAAATAGGAAGTGCCAACTATGCAGGTGTTGGTATTTTTACTCTGAATGTGAATTTAAATCAACACATTACTTCTGTAGAGAAAGAGGCTATTTCACATGACCTCTAATTACAGAATGACTGTGTCACCTCAAGGAACCCAGAGGCCCAGAAATCAGATCACTTAGGTTACCTTACTCTGCTTAGTAGCTTAGATAAAGGTACTCATACAATATCATTCTTTTCCTCATTGTGAGTAACTTGAAAATTGCTCTATGATAGTGTTTTCGTAAGTATGGTCCTCAGACCCCTTGCATAAAAATTACTTGGAGGTGATAGTTAAAAATGCATACTCCTGGTATCACCACTAGACCTTTTTTTAAAAAAATTCTTTTAATGTTTATTTATTTTTGAGATAGAGAGAGAGAGACAGAGTGTGAGTGGGGGAGGGGCAGAGAGAGAGGGAGACACAGAATCGGAAGCAGGCTCCAGGCTCCGAGCTGTCAGCGCAGAGCCCGACATGGGACTTGAACTCATGGGCTGTGAGATCATGACCTGAGCCGAAGTCAGACACTTAACCAACCCAGCCACCCGTGTGCCCCTTAATAAAGTTGAACAGAGAGGGGGACTGAGATGGGTGCAGCTAGAATTTGTATTTTCACTAGATCTTCCAAACATGTTTATGCACACACTGCACACAGACATGCACACACCTGTGTATGCATGCTTTCCATGTGCGAGGGGCATGTAAGTCCATGTTGCTTATGCGTGGGACCCATGCACAGACCTGCATTCTGTGAGATGTGCCCTCTCTGTGCTGCATGACACACGTTCCCATACTAGCAACTCTAGCTCCCTTTCTCACATCAATGCTAATACAGCTAATACAGGGAGCAATAAAGTGACTTCCAGCATATTACTCTGAGGGATATGGAATATTCCCCAGGGGATTTTAAGCAAATATTTTTACAGATTTTACCTTTGGTTGAATTACAGAGCTGGATTCCAGGATGCCTACCCCCAGAGAGGACATAATCTTTAAACTCTAAAAAATAAACATTACCTTAACTGATTTTGTTCTTTAAACAAAGGCGTATATTAGTCAAGGGTGAATGGTAGAGAAGAATTTCAGGTTTCCAAATGTCAAGAAAGAGACAGCGCTGCAGCCTACTTTAAGAACAAACCACCTGTTCTAATTAACATTTTTATCTTTGACATTTCCTGACTGCTTTTATATGTCCCTGAGGCTATTACTGTAATTTAAATTTAAAAACAAAAATCCAATATTCACTCTTACCCTCATTTTTATAGTTCAGTTAATCCCACCTAGTTCATCTGCTTTGTTGATTTACATCGCTAATGCCACTTATGGAAGGCAATCAGGGATGCTTACAACATTTTGCCTGTTTAGTTTAATGTCATAATCATCTGAGATGAAAGTATCGGTTATTCTCTTCCAATAGCAAACTCAATAAATTCTCTTCCTTGGGCTTAATGTGGTGTTCTCTTATTTCAGTTTCTTTTCCTCTCTTTCTCTTTATTCCCCAAAAGCATTGCATTTGTTCCCATCCTTCATTTCCTATTCAGCATCTGGATCTGGCCATTGACACCTATCAGGTTCTCAAGAACTTACTTGAAAGTTCTCTGGCTCCCCCAGTCCCTACTGTTTTTAAAAGGATTCATAGAAAAACTTGAAGAGGCAAAGTTATAGCCAGTTTACATTTTGCAGCTGGTTTGAACTTCAAGGAGCATGTAGTGGTGTGATATTAAAAGAAAAAAAGGTGGAATAAATAAAATGGTCATTTATTGAACAATGCTTTATGCTGAAATATATGTGAAATGTGCCATAGTTTATTGCATTTCATCTTCAAAATTTTTGCAGTTAGGATTATGCTTACTATTTTTTGCAGATCAAGAAATAGGTTAAGGTATCCTTTTTCATCAAATACCCCCAAACCACCTATATTTTCAATATCTGTATCTTCCCAGCTTCCTTCTCTTATTGTATAAACATGTTAAAAGTCTCAGAACCTAGGGACACCTGGGTGGCTCTGTTGGTTAAGTGTCTGACTTTGGCTTAGGTCATGATCTCACGGTTCCTGGGTTTGAGCCCCATGTCGGGCTCTGTGCTGACAACCAGAGCCTGGAGCCTGCTTCAGATTCTGTGTCTCCCTGTCTCTCTGTCCCTCCCCTGCTCATGCTCTGTCATTCTCTCTCTCTCTCTCTCTCTCTATCAAAAATAAACATTAAAATTTCTTTTTAAAAAGATCTCAGTACCTTCAGAACCTAAAGAAACAAATCTTTGATTGCAATTCTGTATCACTGGGTTTCTTCATAGCCAACATCTCTAGCCTTTGTCTGCTAGAAAGTCTTTGTTTTTGCTTCTTCACTACTCCTAGTTCATTCTTAATGGACAGCAATCTGTACCCTTCCAATAGCTAAACACCTGCATTAGCCCAAAACCGTAGGCCACTGTGGTCTTCATCTTGCTGCCCGTGCCCTCATTAAAGAACTTGACTCACTATCATGGCTGTTATCAAGATTAAAAGAGTTAATTCAAGAAGTTGAAGAGTGTTCATGGTATAGAAAATATGTATGTATTTTATTTCTGCATGGTGTCCTGTTTTGACATCTTAATAATAAAACCTTCCTGGTTGGGGAGAGACTGCTTCTCCCTGGGCTAACCAATTCTTACAGGTCACCGAGGGCCTAGTAAAGAGCATGGCCTTGATATATAAACCAACCCAGAGCCACACCTCCTGCATCCGGTCCCTGCACACAGGAGGCAATATTCCTCTCCCTTAATTATCCCAGAGCCAGGTACTAGATAAGTAGAGACCACCCCTATTGCCCCAAGCCCATTACAATGATTTAAATTGGCCGGTCCTAAACTATTTACCATTCTTCACCTTTCCTGCAGAAACCCCAATGGAGGCCATGGCCTAAGTGCTCTCCACTTCTTGTCTGCTGCCTCCTGACTACTCTGGAGTTTCTCCATAATGGTGCTGGGTGGTGTGCTCTGTCTCCTGTCTCTAGGACCTGTGAGTATTACAAACTCTGTTTTCCTGAGCCTCTCCTCTGTCTCTTCTTGTGGCTCTGCTTGACTGACCATCTCAAAAACAAATACGAAACAGAAACCCTCATTCAATGTTAGATGTTATTGATATGTAATGGCGGTTGTTATTCCTAGGCTTTTATGAACACAGTGATCAGGGTCTCTATTCACCTTACAAATTATACATTTTTAGCTTCTTTTACTAGTTTTTATTTTCACTGCTGCCCTTAGACTTGAGGCAATTGCCCTAGACTTGCCCTTAGACTATTTTCATTGCTGGCCCTTAGGCAAGAGGGATCTTTTCCCTGGGCTTCATCTGCACATTTAAAAATATCAGTTATATTAAGATATAATATATGTACAATAACATTCATTAATGATCAGAGTACAATTTGATAAGGTTTGATAATATATATAGAGACGTGTGACCACCACCATGATCATGATATAGAACATTTCCATCATGCCCAAAATGTCCTTGTGCGTCTTTGGAATCAATCTTTTCCCCCTTCTCTTGGTCCTTGGCAACAATTAAACTTTCTGTCATAGTTTTATCTTTTTAAATTGTATATAAATGGAAACTATACAGTATTTAGGCAAAAGATTGTATCTGGCTTCTTTCACTTAGCATAGTGGTTTTGAGATTCATCTATATTGTTTCCCATCAGTTGTTTGTTATATTCTATAGCTGAGTAGCATAAGGTTATTTTTATTCAAATGCCAAGCAGTAGACATTTATGTTGTTTCCAGTTTTGAGCTATTATGAACAAATGCTGTAAACACTTGTCCTTGTGTGGACATGTTTTTTATTCTTCTGGAGTAAACATCTGAAAGTAGGTAAGTAAATATCTTCAAAAAGATACTTGAATCATATGGTGAGTGGATGTTTGTAAGAAAATGATAAACAGTTTCCCAAAGTGGTTGATATCGTCTTGCGTTTGTGAGCAATCTATGAGAGCTCCCATCTCCCCACATTTCTTGCCAGTACTCAGCCTTTTTGATCTAGTGAATGTGTTGTGGAAACTCTTTGTGGTTTTACTTAGCATTTCCCTGATGATTAATGAAGTTGAGCACCTTCTTATGTACACATGTCATTCTTCTTTGACAGTGTTTCTGTTCAAATCTTTTGCCCGTTTAAAAAAGTGGTTGTTTTCTTTATTTTATTGATTTGTAAGAGTTTGTAAATATTCCAGATACAAGATTTTCTCTTACATTTTCTTCTAGAAGTTTTGTAGGCTTAGATCTAACATTTAGGTGTATGGTTTATTTCAATGGGAGTTGAGGATCATGAGATATATAGATATAGATACAGATACAGATATAGATATAGATATAGATATAGTTATAGGTAGATAGAAAGATATAGATAGACATAGATATAGATATAGATATAGAAATATATAGATAGACATAGATACAGATATAGATATAGATATAGATATAGATATAGATATAGATGCACATATATCCAATTGTTCTAGCTCCATCTGGTGAAAATTCTGTCCTTTCCAAATTGAACTACTTTGGCCCTTTGTCAAAAATCAATTGACCAAAAATTTGTGGGTTTATTTCTGGCATCTCTTCTGTTTCACTGAACTGTCTTTTTCTAGTTTTTAAAAAATGGAATCTTAGATTGTTTGACACACATTCTTTTCTAATATAAACATTTAATGCTAAAATTCTTTCTAAATGCTGTTTGCCAGTCATTTTTAGTTTAATTCTGTTATAATCAGAGAACATACTTTGTGTAATTTTAGTCCCTTTAAATTTTTCGTCCACTTGTTTATCAGTATTGATAGAAGAGCATTGCGAACTGCTACTGTGATACTGATTTTGTTTATTTCCCTTTTCAATTCTATTATTGTGAATTTGTTTGTTTTTCTTTTTCAGTCCTGCCAACTTTGTTTTATGTATTTTGAAGCTCTGTTAGTATGTGCATTAAGTTTAGGATTATTATGTCCTCTGGGTAAATTAGTGCCTTTAGTATTATGAAATATTTCTCTTTATTCCTGAAAATATTTTTTTGTTTTGAAATCTTTGTCTGATATTAAAATAACCACTCTAGCTTTTTGTAGATTAATGTTTTCATTGTATATCTTTAAATAGTCAATTCTATTTTAAGGAACTAAATATGAGAAAAATATATTTTATATTTTCCCACATATTTATTATTTCTGGTATTATTCATTTCTTTGTGTAGTTCTTTTTTTAATGTTTATTTTATTTATTTTGAAAGAGAGAGAGAGAGAGAGAGAGCGCACAGGCAAGGGAGGGACAGAGAGGGAGAGAGAGAGAATCCTAAGCAGGCTCTGCACCATCAGCATAGAGCCCGATGTGAGGCTTGAACTCACAAACCATCAGATCATGAGCTGAGCCAAAATCAAGAGTTGGATGCTTAACTGATTGAGCCACCCAGGTGCTATACTCCTTAGTGTAGTTCTAAGTTATCATCTGGTATCATTTTCCTCTGCCTAAAGAACTTCTTTAACATTATTTGTAATTCAAGCCTCTGCCAGAAGCAGGAAAATAAATCAAATCCATATTACTTTTTTGTGGTCAGAGGGAAAATCAGGGATTTCAGTCCTACTCTTCAGAGTCTTGCTCTGGCCCTTCTATGGTATACCCTTCACCATAGTGTGAAGGTTCACTCAGGCCAAGGGGATGTGCTCACTCGGAATCTATGTTCCACCTCTACCACCTCTACCTAGTCTGGATACTCGGGACCCAGGAGTTTTCTATTTAACTATCACAGGCTGACTTCCCATCCAGACTTCTATTCCTGGATCATCCTTTTGATGGACACAGGGGTGAGTATTTGCTACGGTGATATGGACAAAGCTCAAATGTGCATGCTAGGGGACCCAACTGTGTGCTCAAGCAGTTTCTTGTAGTATAGGATAGATCCAAGGATGAGAAAAGAAAGAAGGTGGGGCACAGGCTCCATCTCCTTTCCAAAGCACCATATTCTAGCATGGAATTCTGAGTCCAAAAATTCTAAATTCAATTTAGCATTCCAGAATGTTATGATAATATATTTTTCAAGGTAGAAGGATGAAGTGTGTTTCATTTACCATTGTGTTGGCTTAATTCATAACTTTTAAGTATTAGACATGGAATGTGGGCCTTTGTATTCTTGTCCTAGGCCTGACGAATGTTAGGTGTGGGCTGGATTTTTCTCCTTACTACCCTGTAAATGAATGTGCTGCTTGTATTTTCCCTTTATCCTCTTCCTTTTTCACTCTATAGACTTGATGATAACCTCTATTCCCAAAATTTCCACAACACAGTTGTAGGACAGTACAGAAATGCATTAAGACTAGGTCCTACAGGCACCTGGGTGGCTCAGTTCGTTAAGCGTCCAACTTCAGCTCAGGTCATGATCTCACAGTTCATGAGTTTGAGCCCCACATCAGGCTCTGAGCTGACAGCGCAGAGCCTGCTTCAGATTCTCTATCTCCCTCTCTCTCTGCACCTCTTCCACTCTCTCTCTTCCTCCCCGCCCCCTGCACTTTAAAAAATAAATAAATAGACCTTCAAAAAAAAAAAAAGACTAGGTCCTAGAGAATCAGTGCAAACAAATGGACAGACAAGGCTGAAAATAGCTCTCTAGGTCAGAGAGGAGAAGAGACAATATGCCATTAGTCAATAGTGTATTAAACTTACTAACTGAGAAGTTCATGAATAAATCAGAAAGGGCTGAATATTATAATGGATGATTCTGTGCTCTAGAACCAGGCTGCTTGAGTCAAATTCTGCTCCTGCCACTTATTAGCTGTGAGGCCTAATCCATTTGTGCCTCAGTTTCTTCATCTATGCAATGTGTATAATAATACAACCATCTGACAGGATTATTTTAAGAACCAGTGATTAAGTATAAAAGAATTGGAAGAATTCCTGGAAAATAGTACATTCTCAATGCATTTCTTTTTCTTTTCTTTTCTTTTCTTTTCTTTTCTTTTCTTTTCTTTTCTTTTCTTTTCTTTTCTCTTTCCTTTCCTTTCCTTTCCTTTTTCTTTTCTTTTCTCTTTCTTTCTTTCTTCCTTCCTTTCTTTCTTCCTTTCTTTTTTTGGGAGAGAGAGAGCACATGTGAGCGAGTGGGGAAAGGGCAGAAGGAGAGAGAGAAACAGAATCTTAAGCAGGTTCTGTGCCACGCTCCATCTCACAACCGTAAGATCATGACCTGAGACGAAATCAAGAGTCAGATGCTTACCCTACTGAGCCACCCATGTGCCTCTATTCTCAATGCATTTAGCTAATATATTAATTAAATACAATTTCAGGGTTTGGGCTGAGTTTTCTGTATGTCTCTGCCGTATATTTTAGAATTGGATAATCCTTGCTTGCCAATATTGGACTAATCTGTGGTTTTAGCTACGTATGCTTCAAAGCTGGCTACATGCTCACCAATCCTGTTACCTCTTCCTGGGCACATGGTAAGACGTTATTTTCCAGAATTCTTGGATGCTGTGTTGGGGCTATGTGACAGAGTTCTGGAAAAATAAATGTGTACAGAATTTATGTATATAGTTTTTAGGCATGGTCATAAATCCTCTGGTTACATTACTCTTACCTCCCCAAACTACTGGCCAGATTATTCCAGGATTACCTTGAACTTGTAAAATGGCAAAGCCATGAGATAGAAGCACTTGATTACTAAATCAGTTTGCAGGATAACCACTCAAGAGAACCACCCAACCAAGAGTACTCACAGTGGACTTAAAAATATTTTTATTACATTAAGCCAGTAAGATTTTGGGGCATTTGCTATAGCAGTTAACCTATTCAAATACAAATGTTTATATGTTGAAGTGGTGTTCTTTCATAACAAAAATTTGAAATATATGTTATTGGCTTAGCAATTGGCCATGGTCAGTAAGGAAACTGAAATTGGCAGCTGGAAAAATGGTAATCTTATTATGCAGTGGTAAGACATTTTGTAAAACTTTTCCCTATGTATGCTTGGAAGGTAGAACATGTGCCTATTGG